TATGAATGTCCACATGTATGTTCAGAGCATAGGGGTCATATATCAAGAACATTTGGCTGAGAAGTTTGTCTTTTGACCATGACACTCAGCTTTGAGATTTGTAAAAGCCGGGTAAAACAAACTATTAGAAATGCTGTATGATCACATTGAACTCTCTAAACTATCATTTTAAATACATGTAACTATAGATATAAGTTGCTGTATTTTGAAAAGTGAGGCAATGAATATATAAGAAGGGAGGGTGAGTTACCAAAAGGCACACACAATGTGAATACTCTTCATGACCAGTTTGTTTGAGCCACATGTTTGTTTCTAAGACTGATTTGACAGGCCTTCTGGAAGGCATGTGAGAAAGAGAACACGGCTTTTGTAATCAACAGTTGTCCCTCCAGTGGATGCTCTCCAGCAACTGAGTCCTGTGGAGGTTGTACCGAATGGATGGATGACAGCACCTTGTTGATAAGTACCACCTGATCATCTGCATCTGAGAGTCCCCTGATGTCATTCCCAGTGAACTCTACAACCAACACTCAGCAAGAATGAATGTCATGGTGCCGACCTGATCAAGGGATATTAAGTATTTATTTCATGGCCACATAACCCATTCTTATTTGCGTCCATGACAAGTTTGAAATTAAATAATGATATTTCCTTTTTATTAACAACTGATTTTTGTATATGAGAAGGTAGATGGTGCTCCATATTTCCTTTTTATTAACAACTGATTTTTGTATATGAGAAGGTAGATGGTGCTCTATAATTAGACAGACAGACAGACAGACAGACACACACACACACACACACACACACACACGGAGGGAGAAAGCAAGAGAAAGGTTAGACAGACAGACAGACAGACAGACACACACACACACACACACACACACACACACACACAGAGGGAGAGAGCAAGAGAAAGGCGAGAGAAAGGGAGATAAAGTGGTCTATGTTGTCCTTAAACTTGTGATCTTCCTACCTCAACCTCCTGAGTGCTGGGAGTTTAGGCATTCATTACCATCCTGACTTTTTTAATGTCTTTTGAAACCTGGCCTCAAATTGTATTATTTTAAAGAAATTCATTTTATTAAATTTTGTTGTATTTCATACAGAGTACCTCAAACAATATGAATCATCTTTACAGCCCCGTCCCCACCAGCACCCTCCCATAGCCCCCCACTGGAACCCATATACTCTGTCCTGGTTGTTAAGGCCCACTGTGTCAAGTTGGTGTCCCCAGACCTTCCCCACTGCAAGTCCATCCACTTGCAGTTTAGTCAGATCCCTTTCACCTATCTATCAAAAACAGTTTTAAAATTACACTATATGAATGGTCAGAATTCAAGATATGAAGATTCAAAGTATCAAATGATAGGAGCCAGATGAGATTTCAGATTAAAAAAAATGGTATTTTAGTATAGATGTTTTGTGAGATAAGATCTAGACTATAGAATGCTTCAATGTTTCCTCAAAGTGAAATGGCTATTTTTGGACAGGATAGTCATTTACTAATGGTTCCATGCCAGATTTGGCAGTCTTTAAGCTCTACTGATCTTACTCTCCATTTAGTTTAGTTCCTTGTATGACACAATTAATGATAGTTTGTGAGATAAGATCTAGACTATAGAATGCTTCAATGTTTCCTCAAAGTGAAACGGCTATTTTTGGATAGGATAGTCATTTACTAATGGTTCCATGCCAGATTTGGCAATCTTTAAGCTCTACTGATCTTATTCTCCATTTAATTTAGTTCCTTGTATGACACAATTAATGATAGTCCAAGAAGAACTAATCACCTGAAACTTTAGCTTAATTTTGACAGGATTTTAAAAACAGTACTCTGCATTTTACAATCCTGAATTTCTCAACAAATGTTTCACTGGCTTTTACAGCTGTCAGTTTACTGTATAATTACAAATGTGCAACACGCACGCACACACACACACACACACACACACACACACACATCACCACAGAAGACACAA